TGTTTTACCGTGTCGTGGGTCGCTGCGTGCGCTGCCGCTTTCTTCGCTGTTCTCATGATTGCCATCACTGCCTGCATGTGCCTGTGCGCCCGCTGGCGGCGTCTGGAGAAACTACAAGATCATCAGGTATGCTGCGAAATGCCAAACTTTACAACGATCGATGGCGCTCTCGCTCTGGCTCAATTCACGTATCCTGAGTTGTACGAAGAGGGCGCTGCATGCAGTTTGGCAAAATGCGCACCTCGTGTTGCTATAGTAGATGCTAGAAGAAGTACACGTGTAGGACACACAGTAGGAGTTCTACACGTGCGGAGCTTATAGATACTGAATTCTAGGGCCGCAATGAGAGTTATCGCAACGACAATCTCCCACAATAATTATATCATAGATATTTATTTACAACTAAATAAACCATGAATGTTTAATCGATCGCCTAAATCATAAATAGCTATATATTCTGGGATTAATATGTATTACTTAATAAATAACTTAATTTATAACTTAACGTTTACTTGTTTTGCTGCAGAAATCTTCGCTCGAGTCGCTGTCCAGTCCCCTCGCCACCATTCACGGTCTCATGAACGTCTGCCACATCCCGCGCCCCTCTCTCATCAATCACCCAGCGCCATCTATCGACAAGGAAGGGGAAACCAACGAGGTCGCGCCACAGACGCTCACAGATCGCTTGTGAAGAGCGACCTTCTAGTTTAGACGCCCAATGTAGACTGTCCCCCGTCGTCCTACGCGTGTGAGGATGTGCATTGCGGACCCCGGCAAGAAAAGGAGCCATCTTACGTATATACCGTCTTAAATTAGTTTTGATGGCGTTTCCAGATGGCTCTATCGAGCTACTGCAGTCTTCATAGAGGCTCTGCATGTATAGGGATCTCATCTCATAGATCTTATAAAGATCTCTATAAAGGGACTCTAACCGCAGCTCGTGTGAATTGTGTATACGGAATTTGGTGATTTCCGAGCTGCTTGGATCTACTGGCTACTACTTATTTAAAAATTATAATGTCAAATAACGCGGCATGTACATATAGCTTAAACTGTTCTCTCTAAATGCGATCGCATCACCTCGTAGACGTGGTAGACAGTTGTAAGCTGTCCATGGCATTTACAAACACTGAGCAATTATTTTATATATGCAGTGGGCGTACTGATGACGGCTTTTGCGCGTGCCTTGTGTTGTTGTTGTTGTTGACTAATTGTTATTAACTTAAGTAGTTATAATTGTTACTAACTAATATCATTAAATAGTTATTAGCCGTTATTATAGCTGATATTATAAATAACGTTACCCTGTGTGCGTGCGTGCGTGCGTTTGTCGTGTTGTCAAACAGCGCACGCTCTGGCCCCGGCATTCCAGGGTCGTGTGATTCCGTGACTATTGCCGTGTATGTTGATGGAAAATCTGAAAGGTAAAATCATGTTAATGTTTGGCCTGTTCGTGTCTAATCCCACTCTACGAGTATGTACACAGGTCTTTTTATACGACACGACCGCCACGTGTGTGTGCGTGCGTGTGCGTGTGTGCGTGTGTGCGCGTGTGTGTGTGCGCGCGCGCGCGTGTGTGTGTGTGTGTGTGCGAGCGCGTGTGTGCGCGCGTGTGTGTGAGCGCGCGTGAGAAAGGGTAACGCGTACCAAGGTCATGATGAGAGAGAGAGTAAGGGTAATTTTCTCCTACTAGAGTAGACAGTGTGTTTGGATGATCGCAAGGCGCTTTCGTCTGCCTGCGCGTTGTTCTCGTCGTCATAGCGACGTTGCTTTATTAAAGACATCAATAGTCCATAATAGAACATTTCTATTATTGACTATTGAAATTTGAAGACATGCATCGCGGTGGGACAGCGGTACTAGCTACCGGAAATACCGTCACGACGGCTGCCCTGCTGTAGCTGGATGCATGCACGTGTACCTGATTTACCTGATAAACCATGGTAACTGTTTGCGAGTGTGATGTGTGGTTGCTGTGTGTTCTTGTCCAGTGATTTTCATAAGCCCCATTGCCCTACTGCGGGGTTTAACATTTCATACACCCTACTGCGGGTTTTACAGCACCCAATTGCACGGATAGGTAGCCAAAAGCAATGATAAATGCTGTATACACAAAGCAATATATAGAGGGTTACTTTTCAACAAGAGCATGTGATATGAAAGGTGGCAAGGGTTGCAGGGTTCTTAACTCGTTGACTACGCTGTACACATTCGAGCTGTTAAAAGGGAGAGGGTACAGATGTAGGCAAACACACATGTGAATGGCTGTAGAGCAACTGTGAGGTTGTACATGAGATTTGAACCCGGAATAAGCAAGCAGTGAAAATAATGAATGCTAATACCTGTCGATAATTTCGCAATCACCAAGGAATATCTGTGATATAATTTTACGTGTGCATGTCGAGATTGCCGTCCACCCACCTCACTCTATCTCTCTCTATCTCGCTATATATATATATATCGCTATCTCTCTCCCTCTCTGTCACTATCTTTTATCCCT